GGTGTTGGATCCGTCGGGATAGGTCCGTTGCCTCGAGCTGCTTTGTCGTCCACGACCTTTACCTCGAGCGCCGTTGCCTCGCCCGCCGCCGCGTCCATAGCCGTTGCGCTGTCCGGAGGAGCCGCCCTCACCGTAGCTGCCGCCGTGCTGAAGCCCGCCGCCATGGTAGCCGCCGCTGCCGCCGCTGCCGTGCTGAGGTCCCCCGCTGCCGCTGCTGCCGTGCTGCTCGAGTCGCCCATGGGAGAGCGTTGCTGATCCAAAAGCATAAGAGCGGAGCGGGCTTGGAGAAAAGTGGGCAGCGGATCCTGAAATTGAAGAAAAGACGTCTGGGCTTGCAAATCTGCGGGGAGACCACGAAGCATCTGAAGAACCAATTGATGTTGGGACACCGGGGCATCAACATCATCCAGCCAATCTGCGAGATTTTGCAGATGTTGACAGTAGGCCGCCATGGTGGTGTTGCCTTTGACAGTGGTACGGAACTCGTGCTCCAGTTGCGTGGCACGAGCATTCTTGTTGTCGTGAAACAGATCATGAATAACTTTCCAAAGAGAAGAAGCGGTGGAGACAGAGGAGATAACCAGATCTGAGACTTCGTCGAAGATGGTGGATAAGATCCATCCCTGGAGGAGAGCGTCGAGTTGGAGCCACTCATCATCGTCTTCAGAGAGAGAGACGATGGAGTCATTGATGTAGCCTTGGAGATTGAATCGGCGCACCAAGAGGAGGAAAAGGCGACTCCACTTTTTGTAGTTCGGTTGAGAGAGGCTGAGGAGAACCGGAACATGGAGTTTGACATTAGAGATCGTCGTGAAGGCAAGATGAGGGGTTTTTTCCGGAGTGGAGTTGGAGGTAACCTTGCTTTCGGCCATTAGAGAGAAGAGAGCCGAAGGGAGAAGGGGGGAGTGCCGCCGCTGGGGGACTGCCGACGTCGAAGGAGGGACGGCGAGGCGGCGCTGTGACTGCCGCGAGGGAGAGAGAGAGCCGAGAGGTAGGGTTAGAGTTTTTTTTAATTAGGCTCCGATACCATGAAGAATTATGATTTTCATTGATCAAAAGAGTTGTGATTACATGTATATATATAAGGAGAGTCTCAATCCTAATCAAGGTAGGAGAGACACAAGTAAGGAAACCTATACAAATAAGGTAAGGGAATAATACAATATATTAAATATATACAATATATTTAACACTATTATATGCCTTAGATACCCTATTAAAAATTTATGTTTTTGTCATAACTAAAGCTAATTTGGGGTGAAACTTTAGATTAAATATAAATTTTAATTACGATTAAATCCAAATTTTTGTTTTAATTCTTTAAAGTCAAGTTAAAAATATAAGTTTAAATATAATTTCCTGCGCATGCATTATGTAATTTTCATAATTTTTATTCGATAATTTTAATAATTCTTGCCTTATGTAATTTAAGTAATATTTACATGATGATTTTAGGAATTTTTTCATGTGATTTTTGTTATTTTATAGTTTTCTTTTTTAAGATTATCAAATACTCCCTCCGTCGCCCTAAGATATTCTCCTTTTGATTTTTTGTAATTTTTAAGGAGAGTTGATGAAAGATGATAGTTTACCAAAATACCTTTAATAAAAATAGGTGGAGAGTATTAGATAAGATGGTAGAGGTGTAATAAATACACCAAGTGAGGATAATTGTGGTACTTTAAATGTTAAAAAAGAGTGATAAAATCTATGAGAGACAAATGAAAAGGGCTAATGAGAATAAAAATTGAAATTCTTGACTAACACATCAATCTAAAATATGATAATAATAATTATCTTAATAGATAAATAATAATGAGAAATTTACTTAAATAGCACTAAAACATAATGACTTTCCCTAAATAGCATCACATATGTTTTTTCCCTAATGTAGTACTTTTAGTCATTATGCATCAGTCATTATTCAAGTAAATATTTGTCATTACTGGACATTATAGACATTATTAAGTGCTATTTAAGGAATAAAACAATTTAAGTGCTATTTAGAGAAATGACTTATGTTTTAGTACTATTTAGTGCAAATATTTCTAATATTATAGTACAAAGAGAGAAATAAAAATATAATCTTGAAAGTAAATTCTATAATTGGTCCCTAATTATAGGTGGTTTTCATATTTAGTCCCTAATTCTAAGATATTATATAAATGGTCATCAATTTTTGAAAATAATTTCGTAAATAGTCATTTAGGACAAATATGACAAAATATTTTTTCACATATAATTCTTGAATGACATATTATGGAATAGTTTTCAAAAATTAAGAACGATTTATGTAATTCGTTACTATTAGGACTAAATATAGAAACTACTTGTAAATAAAGATTGTGTATGCCGTTACTCTATTTCTTGATAATAATATATTTATAAGTTAAAAGAAAAAAGACTTAAGTAAGAGCAAAACATATAATTAAAATATATCAAAATCGGAGTTCCATGTTTCTATTCACAAAAATATGATCAAGCTAAAATGTATTTACAATGCCAATGTATAATACTAAAAAATGTGAAATGTCTGCCACCCTTAGGGATTCGCTACTGTGCTTGTCACGGTATCGGGTATTGACAACCCAACCTAACGAGGTACATGAGTCGTGTATCTTGCGAAGCCCGTCCTGTCCATCCACTGCTCAGTAGTGGGGCTCCGCACTGGCGTAGTGAATTATAGGGGGTGCCCTATAGGAATCTACCTCGGCTTGGGGCTACAGAGAGATGTGGTTAAATACAAAGTGTCCTCCTCCTTATCACCAATTGGTTTTAGGAAGCATTTGGCACCTCTTTAACTTCAGAACTCTGTAGTTAAGTGTCCTCCGAACTACATTGACTATTTTGGCTTGCTTTCCAAGGTTCGGCAAATGGGGTCGGTTATCGATTACCAACAAGCATTTGAAAAAGTTCTCGTTAACGTCACCAACGTGGATGAATCAAATCTTCAATCTCTTTTTCATGCCGGTTTCAAATCACATCTCCAACATGATCTCATGTTACATAAGCCGTCATCTCTCTCCGAATCGTTGCGAGCTCGAGGCAAAGCATGCGGCATGGGCTACGTCACTTGGAAGTCGGCCCTCCATACAATGGCAGTGGCCCGTCCTAAAGCCTCCAGCCGCTACAACTGGGCAACCACTTCTGCCAACTCCAGATCCTAAAGGCAACGAAATCAAAACCACTCCACCAATCCAGCGTTTAACATATGCGAAAAAAAAGAGCGGGACGCTAGGGGTTTATGTTATAATTGTGATGAGAAATGGTCGAAGGGGCATCGCTGTGGGCGATTTTTATTACTCCTGGAAGACGAGGATGAGGATGGTGCGCCAAACATCATTGATGAGACCCTATTGATGGCCGACGTCTCCATGCTTAATAGTATGGAAGGGGTTGCAGCCCCTCGTTCACTCCATCTTTCGGGCATGATTTTGGGGGGCGTGGTGGATGTCCTCCTTATTGATGGTGGGAGCACACACAATTTTATCCATCCTTCGTCGGTGGAGTGGTTGCAACTCCCTATCACCTCGGTCCCAGCTTTCCGGATCTATGTGGGTAACGGTGCATCGCTTCTTTGTAATCAACAATGTGTGGATATAGCGTTGTTGCTACAAGGGGTGACGTTTAATGTGGATGGTTTTGTTCTTCCCATCCACGGGCCAGACGTGGTTCTTGGTGTCTAGTGGCTACAACTGTTGGGGAAGGTCACTCACGATTATGCCAATCTCACGATGGATTTTTTATGGAAGGGGTCACCCATCACGTTGAAGGGCGGAACACCATCTTTGAGGCAAATCACTCTCCACCATTGTCAGATGTTGCATGTTGCTCACGACCTCTCGGCATGTCTCGAACTATTTCTTGGTGCGACGGCCGACTCCGCAACCACTCCAGACCCGTGGCCAGAGGGACTGCCACTAGAAATCACTCATGTTCTACGGAGGTTTCGGACTGTTTTTGCCATCCCTACAGGTCTGCCGCCCCGGCGCCTAAGTGACCATCGTATCTTCCTTCAACAAGGGTCCAAACCAGTGAATGTTCGGCCCTATCGGTACCCACAATTTCAGAAAAATGAAATTGAGCGATTGGTTCGTGAGATGCTCACCCAAGGTTTAATTCAGCCCAGCAGGAGTTCTTTCTCCTCTCCGGTTCTCTTGGTGAAAAAGAAGGATGGTACTTACAGATTCTGCGTTGATTACAGAGCTTTGAACGCGGTTACGGTTCCCGATCATTTTCCTATTCCAACCGCAGACGAACTCTTTGATGAACTTGGTTCGACTAGATTTTTTACAAAGTTGGATTTGCGATCGGGATATCATAATATTCGCATGCATGATCGTGATATATACAAAACGGAATTCCGAACACATGAAGGTCATTATGAGTTTCGAGTGATGCCCTTTGGTTTGACGAATGCCCCGTCGACATTTCAATCATGCATGAATCGCTTATTTGCGGCTTTCCTACGTAAATTCGTCATTGTGTTTTTTGACGATATTCTCGTTTACAGTTCTTCTCTTGGGGATCACGCCAAGCATTTGGAGGTTGCTTTGGTATTATTATCTTCTCATTCCTTTTTTGTTAAAATGTCCAAGTGTTCGTTTTGTACCAAGTCAATCGACTACCTGGGCCATGTTATCAGCGATGGTTGTTTGCATGCGGACAAATCCAAGATCACGGCCATGGTCGAATGGCCTCTTCCGACGACGCTAAGGCAGCTCCGTGGGTTTTTGGGGCTCACGGGCTATTATCGACGTTTCATTCGTCATTATGCCCAAGTATCCACTCTTCTCACCAAATTTGTTGTTGACACCAACGCCTCGGCTACGGGGATTGGTGTCGTCTTACTTCAAGAGGAGCAACCCATTGCTTATTTTAGTAACAAACTTGGCCAACGCCGTCTAGCGGAATCAACATACCACAAAGAACTATATGCCATTGTGGAGGCAGTACAGAAATGGCGTCAATATCTCTTAGGGAGGGAGTTCTTAATCCGTACCGACCAGCGCAGTCTTAAAGAACTCCTACAGCATGTTATTCAAACTCCGGACCAACAATTTTACGTCCAAAAACTCCTTGGCTACCGTTTTCGCATAGAGTATAGGCCTGGCCGCACGAATCAGGTCGCAGATGCCCTGTCCAGGTTGGGTAGTGATGATTGTGCCAAGATAGTAATTTATTTAGGGACGGAGGGAGTAAAACTTATTCAAGTACCCTTGATATTTCCATTATTTAGGTACTTAAATTTTATTGCCAAACACCCTCAAGATCAACGAATCAGGGACTCTATTTTTTTCAGGGTGATCGAGAAGATAGTAACCATAAAATTATCATACATTTTTTTAATTTTTTTACACATCTGTTGGTACTACCTCTTTAGATGCACACAATATTTAGATGCACTCAATTGCTCAAACATCTTATAAACAAAAAAACATCCTCAAATTCGAAAAGATCATTAAATTTAGGTTTGCTTTAAAACATGATGATAACGTGTTGTGAACTGAATACTTTATTCATCATATGTCGGAGTATTTATACATACACGGGGAGGAGGTAAAGTCTAGGTAAACAAGGTAACCTGATATTTTAAATAATAAGAATAATATATCTGTCATATTTAACAGAGATGACATTATTGTATTACTTTCACTGATGCGAACAAAGCCCATCGAGGCACTAGGAGTGACTTGGGCCTGAAATAGGTACAAAGCCCAAGTTAGAATCCGTACATTATAAGAAAAATCTAGCCCAAAGATAATATAGTGGGCCGGTGAGAGGATCTGTCCAACTTAAGAGGCAAGCTAGGGAAACGAATAAGGTTGGGGGCCCAAAAGATGGGCTGGATCTCAGCCCATTAAGGCCAGGTCAGCCAGAGGAAGAGAACCCTACAAATAAATTAGGGTACGCCGTCCTCTAAGAAGGACAGACAGTTATTCCTTGGACAGGGACAAAGAATAGTGGTCGGACGGATAGATTTATCCTTAAGTGGATGGCTTTAAGCTGAGAAAAATATTTCTGGGAAAGAGGAGGATTGCCAAGATAATTTCCCAA